TGCAGGACTGGCCTAGGGGAAATTTTTAGCGGGGGTTTTAAAATAATTTTAAATTACTTAGGCCAATTGTTAATATTTGTCTTTTAATTATGTTTTTAACTGTAGTATTTCGTATTTTGTAGTTGTTTTATCTGGTTGTTAGCCGCCCTGAGTCCGCAAGGAGAAGGGCGGGATATAAATATAATAAACATAAACATAAACATAATAGTATGAAAATATTGATCACATTGCAAGCATCTTTTCTAACATTTGCCATATAGATATCTCAATGAATATGGAAAATAAAATCCAGAGATTAATTAGAGTTTCAGGAAAAAGCCCAGTAATGGCTTTATCTATTCAAAATGTTATAGACAAGAATGATTTAATATTATAGTAAACTATAATGAAAACACAATTGTTAATGACAGCAAAAACTGGGCAAAGAACAGGCTGGGCAAGATTGCTATGACTGCTGCTGTTTCTATAATAGAGGTAGTCCTTGATGTACAACTGTAATTGAGCCTGAAAGTCATGAGGGTCATTAAGTGGGTCACCATGTGACTACATCTGATTTATGATATTTTTTGCTGTGGTTGTTAAGCAAACGACACAACCATTACACAAACCGATTATATTGGTTAATGTATCCATTTTAAATTAATCAATGGGCTAATTTTGCAAGAAACTGGAAGTAAACACTCATTTCTAGCAAAAAAAATTGCAAATCACACTGATGTGACTGCTAGGCACTGCAAATAGCCATAAATGTGGGCTGGTTGCCATGTTCTGGAAGATTCCTTTGACTCTTGAAATACTACTTCATGGTGATGGTAGGGGACTCATAGATCAAGTTACAAGAGATACACAATTCTGAAGATGCTAGAAAAATAACTAAGTTTTCTTTTTAGCAGTTATCATAGATTTCAGCTATAGTCCCAGCCCATGGAAGACCTATAGTTCTGAATCATCCAATGACATCTCAGGAAAAAGAAAAAAGATAAGCACTTATATTTATTTTTCAGACAGATATTCGTCAAGAAAAACTATAAATGAAGGGGCTAAAATGTTTAAATGACTCTCAGTTTAGTTACTTGAAGAAAATACAAATTTGTATCTATTGCAGAGACTGTTCTTAATAAGACTCTGACAGTTTTCAGTGTTGCTCCTCTTGAGAATTCTCCAAGTTCTTGCTTCCTCTCAAAGCAAACAAATTAGCCTATAGAGATTTGAATGGAACCCTGCAGAGTGCAGGATGCATGTATCTATTTGTCTGAACAGGTCATTTGCCCTCTTACAGTTTCTTGCAGTCAGAGGCTGCCAAGAACAATAGTTTGCCTTCATATTTCATATGAATACACCACGAAGCACAACACCCCCATGGTCATGTGATTGCATTTTCGGTACTCAGCAACTGGCCACATTTACAGGCATTTGCAGCGTGCCATAGTCATGTGACTACAATTTATGATGGTTTGCTGAAAAACAGTGTTTACTTCTGGTGTCTGGTAAAAACCACCCCATGGTGAACAATAACAACCACAACTTTGCTTAATGACTATGACATTTGCTTAATGAGTGCCACAAAAAATACTGTAAAATCAGGTCTAGTTCCATGGTGATCCATTTTTTTGACCATCACAAGGGTCAATTACAGTCATAACTTGAGGACTACTTGTATTTTGTGGCAAATTTTGTTCCTAAGAAAGAAAGACACTGAACAAGTATTATTTTCGTAATGGTTTACACTGAAAATCATATAGGGGTCCACAGAAATGTGTGACCCCCAAAAATTGATCCCAGAACTGAGACTGGGCAGTTTGGTGTGTTGGGCCCTGGTTGTAATAAGCTCCAGTTGAGGTTTGCTTGAATTAAAACCATTCTCTGGATCCCTTTCTTCCTACAGTACTTCAATCACAGAAGATGCAGCAAACTATTTTATAAACCTATTCCAGGCAACTTTGACTCTCATATGAGACTAAGATAGTCTGAATAGAGTTTATGTTCTGCAAGTTTGCCATTGAACCATGAAGTGTAGATGTTGTTACTTCTAGATGAATATGAGCTCCTAAACTGACTAAATTTGATTTAAATGGAAGATTATTCTTACAGTGGCCTAAGTGGAAATATTCCAATCTTCTGATATCTGAATAACAGAAGGAAAAACCAAAGAAGCAGTGCCAGCATTTGCACCAAACTCTTGGGCATGGTCTCTACTAACAGATTTTATTAGTTCATCCTGTTCCGGTAATTGCTATTTGGGTAGCCACCTTCCCCGATGGCAAAAGATTCACTCTATAAGACCCCATGGACTTGCAACAGTCTGAGATTGGAAGGGAAATTGTCAGCAAAGACTACCTGCCTTAAAATTAGTCCTCTTAGCTTCAGAGAAGATCATTAGGGTTATTGCTTCCCTCTGTTAACTTCTTCCATTCCCTCCGCTCCCCAGAAGGACTAAGAACAATCTTTCACCCAAGGAAACAGCACAGGGAACTTCTAACTCAGAGGTCCCCAACGTTTTGGGCATCAGGGACCGGTTCCGTGGAGAGAAGTTTTTCCGTGGAGAGGGTGCGTGGTTTGGTGTGCTGCCTGCATCTCGCAGATGGGGCTTTGCTTGTTTGTGTGGACCAGTTGCTGGCATGCCGCAGCCCAGTACCAGTCCATGGACCAGGGGTTAGGGACCCCTGCTCTAACTATTATGCTGCAGATGCCAAGGGTGGTCCCCGAAAAGAGCTACATGGAAAACTGCCTTTATAAGTTCTGTTGAAGATACCATTCAGATTCCAAATCACCTGGTATAAAGATGATCTTGATGGAAATATGCAAGAATCATTACCTAGGCAAAAGAAGCCAAAATACTTTTCAAGTCCAGAGTCCAGCGATATCATTTGGAAGCGGCTCAGGGAGATGCCTCCTAATTCACTGAAGTACAGAAGAGGAAGGAGGTACAGCACAATCAGCCTTGCAAGATTCTGTTAATATTGTCAGTCTCAGGAAAGGTACGTTTTAGCCTTCCTCTGGAGTTGATTTTCTGATTTGGGGCTGACATTCATCTGCCAGAAAGCTTCCCTGAAGTACCTAAGGAGCTACTCAAGTCAATAGCAATAAAGAAAATTAAAATGAATTCAAAAAAGGAATTGTTTTGGTAGCTTAATGCTGCACAGCTTTCTGTAAATGATAAATTTACAGCATACCAGAATGCTAATGTATACAAATTGTTGTGTAACAAATTACATGTGCAATACAATACAGAATAAAACCTCAGACTACTTTTAAGATTCTGATCAGATAGCAGCTCTTTCATAAATATTCAAAATGTTTCATACCTGATACAGGAACCTTTTCACCCG